TTAACTATGTAACAGTGGTACCTTCGTACAGTTTTTTCGAACATTCCGGCCCTTGGAGGCTAGGTATCTGCGGAAAATCTGGGAATATAGCATAGATTATCATGGTAAGGTTTACACTGGTGCAGTCCCGTCCCTTATTAGGTCCTTTCCGGTCGCAAAGTTCGTGGAAACTGCGCTACATAACGATTGATGCGGAATGGAGCAGGTCTGATTATACCAGGCGAAGGGTGTCGTAACCAGCTCAAATAATCCCCACTTTTGAGTTGCTTGCACGATAGCAATTTTCACAAAACAGTCACAAATGGGCAACTCAAAATACTTTGCCAAGTTCGTTTCCCCAACTGCCAGATCCCGATTTGCCCGAATTATTTCCATTCCTATAGTCTTGAGGTCTTTTTCTGAAATTTTCCTATTGATGACTTCGATGGGAATTTGGTGGTGTTTGCAAGATTCCATGATATTTTGTTTCCTGATTGTTCGACCGAGCATTATTAATCGTTTTCAAGTTTCAATATTGCGCATATAATAGAGACATGGACAGTGAATTTTGCTCGAACACTTCAGAGGTAACCCTATTCTTTATGGTAAACATACCTTTCTCGATCGATTTAATTTTGCCTTCCGTTTTCTTAATCGCCTCGGTTACAGATTTTTCGTAATTCTGGAAATGTGCTGAGTTTTGGCCTTCCACTAAGCCTTTGTTAATCACGCTTATCCTTTCCCACACAAGACCTTCATCGCGTGAGACCAAATCAAGTTTTTTCTGCGTGGCTACACCGGAACACCAATTAAAAACATCTCCCACGAAATTCAAATCTCGCCTACCCGTTACTCGAACTTTGTTTTCCCTTTTAAATGCAGCGATTTTACCACCTTCCTGTAAGAGTCTGAACTCTTTTGTGAATGTAGTGGAAAGCTCGTTTATACTCCTCATAACGTTACACTGATCTGGATTTTCGGTACATGGGCATGGGCACTAATAATTATCACAGGACTAAAAGGTACTATTATTACTGACTAACTAACGCGCTTAATTCTCGGTCTGTAGACTACCCCTCATCTTCCAAAAACCATTATTTTATATTAGTACCACGACCCTGGTGCGTGATCGCTGATTATTACAATTAGCGGTGAACCGCCGTTGACATTGACCTTCTATTGGTTCAGGTTCCTCCAGTGGCGACGCCAAGGTTTTATGTTAGGGGGGGCCAGACTGGGCCAGAAAAATTAAGGGGGGGCATTTGTTTTTACTTTATTGCTTTTCTTATTTGGAACAAAAAATGGGAAGTGCAGGGTTTTCCCGTATATTTTTGCACCCCACCTGAACAGGTTAATTGAATAGGTATCAAAAAGGTTTTCATTTGTATTTTGTATACAGGATGTCCGTTTTTCGAGCGCAACCTTTGGACTATAGGAAACGGTAATGACTGGTTTATACTTCCAAAATTAAGAATTAAACTAAACTTTAGAAATGCAGTTTATACGAGAGTTTATACCTAAAATTAAGAATTAAGGATTTTCTGAAATTAGCGAGCACTTCACGTAATCACAAATGACAGAAAGGAGCATGGAAACAAACAAAAAGACAAAAACCAGCTAGAGTGACAACAAACATATTGACATTTAGAAGATCTCCTTAATTCTTAATTCTTAGTTGAAAGTTAACCAACTTTTAATTTAATTTAGTTTAATTTAATTTTTTAATTTGAGTTATAAACGACAGCATCAAATTATGGAGATTTAACATTTAAATTTTAAGTTTAGTTTAATTCTCAATTTAGTTTAATTCTTAATTCAGAAGTATAAACCAGGCATAAGAGATAGAACCGGTTGGGTTAAATTGGGGCAAAGTTGCGCAATTTCTTGCTTAACAAAACGCGCACTTCAAAATTTGGAATATTCCAAATACTTCCGGATAAGTATAGTGAAAATAGTGCATTGGAATTATTGGAAAGAGATAAGTAGATGGTCGTGCATTTGAAGTTTGGACGCGTTATTGTTCATTAAAAAAAATTATTTATCAATCGCCAAATGTGTTACTGCTTTTGGGAGATCAAAAAGTCCGAATGCAATAAAAAAAATGCAAACCTGTATCCAAATAAATAAAGTTTATGATGATCGGCAAAAAACGAAAGGTAGGATCTCAAATTTGCCTACACCATTATGTAGAGGGGAGAAAGTTACCGCAATAAAGTGAAGTTTATTTGAAATATCTTTCCAAATGATGAGTCCAGGAAAAAATAAAAACGATTCTGCAAAATTTTTATTTTTTCCGTGTATTTCCGGAAATATTCGGAATATTCCAAATTTCGAAGTAGCGTTTTGTTAAGCAAGAAATTGCGCAACTTCGTCGCGATTTAACCGAAGCTGTATTTCTTATCGTTTCCTATATTCCAATGGTTGCCGTCGAAAATCGGACACCCTATATATAGGTAAACTTTTTTGATTCCTATTCAATTAAGCGTTCAGGGTCGGTAGCGAGTCACCTCCGGATTGGTTTTAACTCCAGGGTAAACGTGTCCAGTTGCAATGTTTACCCTGGAGTTATGCTTTACCCGGGGGTGACTTGCTATTCAGAAACTGACCTTCAGGTGAGGTGCAAAAATATACGGAAAAACTCTGTACCTGCCGACACTTATAGGTGTGGAGGAACCCCAAGAAAGTGAAAGCAGCGTCGCGGTTTTCTGTGTCCACTGAATACACAATTAACCGACAGAGGCTACTGATGTTGCATTGCATTGTTGCCGACATGAGGGCTAGTTTTCAAGGGGGGCCGGCTAAATTTCAGTGGGGACCCCGGCCCCCTCTGGCCCCCCCTGGCGTCGCTATGGGTTCCTCATATAATTTAATAATTCGTTCAACTTGCAACCGAATGTTATTTGAACGTGACGTGATCAATAATATTCCTGAAACCCATGAACCTTTTTTGGAAGATCATTGGGTTTAATTAACCAAAAGGAGATGCCCTATTATCCTAAATACGACAATATGATTGGACAAATTCAAAAATAGGTGTAGAGATCGGCGTGGAAGTTTCGACGTCAATATCTGAAGAATTTTTTACAATGTTCAATAGGGACTTACATTTTAAAATGATTTCTCTTTTTTTGGCCGATAATATTTGTTTGGGCAGTATCCACCACTTTTTTTGATACTAGTTACGTGGAATTACTAAAGACATGATTTTATTTATTATCACTTTTTTCAATAATTGCGAAGTTTCGACCAGTGGAGAATCTCCGGTCGTCATCATGCTAAAAATCTTGAATTCTTTATTATAATACGAGTATAATATATGTATACAATTTTAACCGCAATTTCCAAAACTTTCCATGTCTTCCAGAAATTTACGGTTGCAGGCTCAATGATTTATGACCCTTTTCTCCATATTCTTGAAATTTCTTTCCATAGATCGATGCACATGAAATAAAGGTTGTATCCATTCAACTTGCCTTTTACTGCAATCAGAAAAAAAAATTATATTTTATTTCAAAAATTTTGGTCAATTTTGCTTCAAACCGAGTTCAGAAAGAAATTGTTTCTTTCCTAAAAAAAAAATATAATCCAGGATATTCCTGGTAGGAGTATTATAGTAGATTTAATCCTTTCTACTAACCAACTATTGAGTTTTCCGAACATATTGCTAGGCTTCTCAAATCACAATTCTCTAATCTCATTTATTAGGTATTGTCTCCTGTGTTTGGTCTGCCATTATTGGATTCAAGAAACTAGAATATAAGCTGAGATACGTGACCTGGATATCTGTAAAGATATAGGCAATAACTTTCCTCTTATCGTCGTCACTATAGCGAAAGCAGGAAAGAATAACTTGATAAGTACTTCTAGGATGGATATTTTAATCAATATTTTACACTATCAATGGTTTTTTTTACTATCGCCTTTGATGTGGTGGCAAGGTAACTAAATTGCTTTATTTTAATTTGCATTTCAAAGCGGTTGAACTCGTTTCGATGATGAATACCTGATAATGTGTATTTAAGAAATCGATTTTCATCACAGCGTTCAAACGAAAAATTAGTTATTTTGCACATAATGAACTCAATATTAAATTTTAGATTGGGTGTTTCAAATTATTACTTATAATAGAAATATGCTCTTAAGTTTGTGTTAACCACCCATATTGAATTAATAATGGGAATGTTGGTACTAATTCTTAACTATTAGATGACTATGGATTTATTTTTCAAATTATCTGTCATTGTATGTAAGTATGCTATTTAGAAATCCTATGGAAGTAGCTGCATGATTTTGCACGTGACTTCTTGTCATGCGAGTGAGCGTGAATTTAAATCAGTGTACCAAAACAGAGACAATCCCGAGAGGTTCTAAATCAAATCATGTCGCATCATCTGTAGATCACTCTCTAGAATGTTGGGTCCTACAACGAACCCATCAGGCATTGGGCTTGCAAATTTCACTTTGAATGTGGAACAAAGTTGCTAACAATAACCTCAGTGAAAGGAAACATTCCATTTCCCATCCAAACGATTTAAGTGAGCCAGATCGAAGATTTTGATAATCATGTAGCACAGACTCTCAACTAGCTCTTCACGAGAATGAGAAAATTATTGTAAAAGTTCAATCATTCACAAATCCCTGAAATCCTTGACAACCTCGATGATATACTATAAAAAGAAGTAAACATGGAGTTTTTCACTTTGTTTGCCAACCGTATTATTGAAAAATTGGCAGGATGATCGATAGATTGGATTGGAAACACGATAAAATCCGCAAAAATTGGAGCAAGTGATAATGTCATCCATTCGGGCACATAAGGTCGAATAAATTACTTGCTTGATTGTTGCTGTGAACAGATAACTTATGTGATTTTAACAAATAAGTGTATGTAATAAATATTATAGCTAGCCACTATGAGAGGCAGTATTGGTATTTGCTTGTTGCATGCAGCAGATTAGAGTTTTCTTGGGATTTAATTAAAAAGTGTTACGCTAGTATTAGTAAGGTCTATATTATCTTACCTCTGCAAGAAACTCCGTAGGCGCCGAAATGCTTTCATCGGCATCAGTGTACTCGCTCAGATCTTCATTACTGCTGGAAGTGGGCTTTAGAATTCCTCCAATGTTGCCGTTATCCTCTGTTGTCATTTTCAAACGAGCACTGCAACGAAAAGTTTTGTTTTGTTTTAAATTTTCAATAGACATTTTAACTAAAATTCAGTTTTCAATAACTGTTAATTTTTTTGCAAGAATCTTATTAATTATGACACATAATCAAACCTATACATGTCACCTGCATGTCACTGTGTCAAGTATACCTATTGACTTTTTGGTTGACACAATCTAAGGGCTGGGTTCGTTTATTACATCTGCGAGCAAAAAAAGCAAATTTTGACGGACGTCAGGTGACCACTTTTCTTTTTTCAGGTGTCAAATCATGTGACATTTGTCAAAATTTGCTCTTTCTGCTCGCAGATGTAATAAACGAACCCAGCCTGTATCTTGTATATTGTATTGTATTGTAAAGGTGAAATAATTTCTAATTTCTACTCGAATCTATTGCTAATATTTCAATATAAGTTTTCAAGATAGGTAATGTAAAATATTGAATTTGCATTGATTAAGACCATAGTTCAAATGTAACATACCCTTGCTCTCAGCTCATATATCAATGGGTTTATAGTTATTAAAAGAATTACAAAAAATCTTGAAACACGTAGTGAAATGACTGGCTTTGGCCCACAATATCATTTAATGCAAACAACATACTCATTTTGCACCTGAATAGCTATTCACGGGTCCCTAGGGACCCAAAGTTTGAATGTGGTCAAGCTCCAATTTCAGACTTCCATTATCTGGAAACAAATATCTGAATTGAACAAAACTCCCGGCCTGATTGACCTAAATTTCATTAAATTCAGGTGCCCGCATTTAAGGTTGTGCCTATGTTACATAGTTCTTTGAATTTAAGGGTTTAAATTAATGGCTGATGTTTTTGCTCTCAAATGTTTCCAGATGTTGGCAATTTCTCTGTTGGGATTAATATATTTATTTTGGTCTCAACTTTCCAAATACTGCCTCATCAAATTTTCTTTTACTCCAATTGGGTTCTTTGTGGATTATCTTTGCCTCTGTCCATGTTAATTTGTCCATAATTGCTCTGCTACTCCGGATATATCCTCTTTGTGTCTTTCTTTTTTGTTCGTCGAGTTTCGTGAGCAAAGGTAAACCGAGTTATGTATCGGCATATTCGCAAGGTATGTCGTAGATACAGTTTTTGTTTCTGGTATAACATTCACTGCGAAGTTTGGAAAGTTGGCTACCTAGTGTGTTTTCAGATTTAAACACAATTATTATGCAATATCTTGCAGTGACTCAGTGATCGGCCTGATTTTCTTGAAAGTCCGCGATGATAGGTAATTGATAAAAGGCAATTTTTGTCCTTTATATCCTTGTAGTTGGGTATTCTAGATATCTGATTTGTAGACGAGGCGATTGACAATTTTTCTTTAGGTCTGCTCTAATCCTGTCTATTTCGTTGTCTCAAGAGTCCTCATTGTTGCAGATGGTGGTGACTCTGGTGTATTTAGATTGATTCTCTATCGGTTACGTGCGTATAGGTTTTTTTAAAAATGAATAAGAGTGATTGACAAGAATGTCGAGGAATGGCAGAACGATTCTGTTCTTTTTCCATGGTGAATTTTATTTACAGTCTTATGTTGTTGATATATTTTTTGAATCGTTTATCCATCCTCCGAGTTTCCCTCACTACAATTTTCTCTGGCAGCATTTTGCGGCCTTTTCTGTTTTCCCCTGTAGGTAAACGATATGTAGCTAGAATGTTTTCAGATAAGGAGCTCAATTTCTCTAGAACTATCCGATTCATGGAGGAAGTTGAAAAGGGTGTTATTGAAAACTTCCTCTATGTCAATGAACGTTGCTTCTATGTATGTATGTGTTGGAGGTGTCAGTTGCACTGCAACCAATGTTAATCTATTGTATCCTTCATTCTACTGCCAAGTTGGGGTTTTCTGCTCAAAGCAGCCACTCTAGTCCTAGGTTCTTTGGAAATTTCAAGATATCTAGCGGTTCCATGGCTAAAATGTCTTCCAGCTGTATAAAGGGACTTCCCAGGTTCTTCATGCAAAATGGTTCTGGCCCAGTGAAGGGAGTAGACGCTCCCGTTTTCGCGAGTCTGTCTGCGCATCCGTTGCCCTCGATCCCTATGTATCCAGGCACCCAGAGGAGGGTTAATTTTTTATTTTTTTGCGCAGATCGATGAGTTTCTATAGACGTTCCCATACTATCTTAGAATTGATGACCTGTAAGCTCAATGCTTTGATAGCTGCTTGGCTGTCAGAAATTATTACAATCTCTCATTTTCGATAACTCCCGATCGCATGAAGTTCTGCTTGACATGCTTGGTGACTTTCTCATTGGCTCCGAGTATCTGGTCCGTGGCTCGAATACTCCGGTTTTAGTTCCCTCAGCAGAAGTGCCGCGGCTTTCTTGAATATTTCCGAATTATTTTCCATTTCCAAATAAATCAATATTTTTCGCGTGACCTTGCTGCAAGTAGCAGTTTGTATCATCACACTCTCAAGGCTTCGCTGGTTTTAGACCGATAGTATTCGTAGCGAGCCCCATGGTATTTTCTCCCACTAGTTGCCCTTCCAGCCTCGCGCGTTTTCCTTACAAAAGAACGGCGTTGAGTTGAGTCAGTCTGGCCCGAGCTCACCAATTAAGCAGACGCTCCCGACATCCAACGAGAACCGAGGTAGGCCTTTCCAGAACACCGACTGGTACCTGTTCCACGGCAACGTTTAAGATTCTATAACTGTCACGGTTTAGGTGTACGGGCAGTTTCTTTCAATATATGGTTTATTTTTACTGTCACGGTTCATTTGTACGGACAGAGTTTGCTATTACTGTCACGGTTTACGACACACAATAATCCTGAGGGTGGCGCTCGAGGTAACCGTTAAACCAAAAACAGGAAAATCCGAAAGGGCGTTACAAAATTGGCGCCCGAGCAGGGACCCTCAATTGCTAGAAAAAGAAGTTTCCACCAGAGTTAGTCCATTGACCATTCCTTTGTTAAACTCAAAGTCAAGATGACAGGAGTCAACAACACCGCTGAAAACTCGCGAGTTACGAGTACCCCAAATAACGTTGCACATATTGTAGGTACAACGAGTCCGGCTAACCTAGTTGTTACTATCTCGACGATAACTCACCCCGGTTGGTATGACTCCAACGATGTTCGTGTAAGCTGCGTATATCAATTAAAGAAGGCCGAATTTATTCAGCTCCACAAACAAACTAGAAACTACCGGTAACGTTGACATTTCAAAAAAGAGGCTAGTTACCTTTATTCGTCTAGGAAAAGCTACACCAGCACTGACAACAGTGACCGGTTCCATATTTTCAACGTCTCCCAACATCGCTGCTTCGACGGCCAGTACTACAGCTCAACTGACAACAACCAGTATGGTACAATTCAGACAATTCTCACACCGGTACCGACTATTACCATCCAACCACCGATTTCTCCTGGAACCAGTGGGTCCTCGGTAATACCGATGAAGGTTCATATTTTTTTTTTATTTTTTTTTTTATTTCACCCTTTCGAGCCCATACTCTACACAGCAGCCTTTATAGGCTTTTTGTATTTAATTTGTATGGGCTCTACTCCTTCTCATTCATACTTCTCATTCATACTTGGAGATCAGATGATTGGCGGCAGCGCGGGCGACCCGCCGTCCCGTACTACTGCGGTCACCCATCCAATCTCCAACCCGACACCACGTTGCTTGGCTTGAGTAGGCCGCCTCTCACGTCCTTGATCAAGAACCAACGTGCCGGTATGAAGGTTCATAAGTGGAATATCTATTTTGACGGACAGACCGACGCTGTGACGTTCTTGAAGAGATTGCAAGAAATTTGTACATCCCAAGGGATTATAATAGATCAACTTTTACCACATATGCCCGAATTGTTCCAGGGAGAGGCTTCTCTTTGGTATCGCAACAACCGCAATCATTGGAATACGTGGAGCAAATTTCCGCAGGATTTTAGAAGTTTCTATTTTCCAATTAATTATGCTGCCAACCTGGAGATCGAAATCAGCCGCCGTTTGCAGCAACCTACCGAACAACACACCGGTATATTACCGAGCTACAAACTCTCATGGAGGCATGGCAACATTACCACAAAGCAAGAGCTACAGTGACTCTATAGGAATTTGTTACCCGAATATCGACAACATATTCGGAAAAGCGACTTTACCGATGTGGTTTCACTTTTCCGCACGATACGAGAAGTTGAAAGCTTAGCAGAATTGGAGATAGCAATTCCGTCAATATCTACGAGTACGCACCGTCCACCGGCCGGAATTTCGATTCAAACCCGACCAAGTCCGCCGACCCCACCAAGAATCGGACAACAAACCCGAAGTTTACAAAACCAACGAAAGGAAAGGCCTATGAGGACGGAGGCATGACAACAGGACTATTGAACCGAAAACTGGTCCGGCGCCATGGTTTGCTGGAAAGTTGGGACATAGCCGAACAGAATGCCGACGTACGGCCAAATTATTCTGCTCTCGTTGTGGGAAAACTGGGCTGGACCGAGAGTTGCCGAACAAATAACGATATCGCCCTCAAAATCCAAGAATGCACCGGAAGTTAATAAAATGTTGGAAGACAGAATTATCAAACCATCGAACAGTCCTTGGAGTTCTCCTGTAGTCATCGTGAAAAAGAAGGACGGAAAGTACCGTTTTCCATTGACTTCCAAAAGATAAACGCGGAAGTCAGAAAGACGCTTATCTGCTTCTTTTTATCAACTCGATCCTGGATGAACTGTTACATTACAAGGTTCGATTTAAAACAAGGCTATTGGCCTAATACCTCTGTCCGAAGAAAGTAAACTGATTACTGCATTTACATTACCAGGAATTGGCTTGTTCCAATTCCTTTGGATTACACTCTGCACCGGCCACCTTCCAAAGGCTCATGGACCGCATTAGGGGACCGGAACTAGATAACTACTGTTTCGCATATCTGGACAAAATAATCATTCTTGGCGAGACTTTTGACGAACACCTACAAAACTTAGAAGAAGTATTTCGTCGACTTAGAGAGGCTAATTTACGGCTTATCCCAGAGAAATGTGAATTCGGGAAATGATCCCTGCGTCACCTAGGACATCTTGTGACATCGTATGGCATTCGTACCGACCCAGATAAAGTGGCGGTAATTCGCGAGCTTCCTCCCCTAGCAACCTCCGGAGCTTGAGACGTTTTCTGGGAGTAGCATCTTGGTACCGACGATTCGTACAAAGTTTTTCGCA